ATAGGCTTTTAATTGTATATTTATTTATTGTTTTTAATGAGTTGTGAGCCGCCCAGAGTCCTCCATTGAGGGGAAATGGGCAGGGACAAATTTAATAAATAAATAACAATTATTAAATGTTTATACTACTGCAATTGTGAGATTTTTACTGGCATACAAAAACATATAAAACATCCACGGTAAAAAATATTTACTCCCCTCATCAAAATCAGTCATATCAACATACAATCTAAATATGAAACAAACAAGAAAAAACTCCCCACAAGTTTGTGTCATTTTCGCCAAGTTAAAAACTAAGTTTTAAAAGTCATCTGGAAGAATTCAAGTCTCTTTTGCTTCCTCAAGGGCATCAGTTAGATCAAGTCAAACTCCCAGGGGAAGGCTATTTAATAGCATAAGGGCCGAGATGGAGAAACATCTCTTCTGGCCTTGCCTCCCCCCCCCACCCCACTTCATGAAAATGAAGGATTACAAGCATTTTTTTTCATGTGTGTGTGTGTGTGTGTGTGCGCGCGTGTGTATCTACCTATATCAGATGAGTCAATTTTAGCTGGAGGAGGTGATCTTGCAGGTAACTCAGCAGCAAGCCATATAAGGCTTTATGTGTCAAAACCAGCATTTTCATTTGCATGTGAAAACCTGTTGGTTAGCAGTGCAGAGCCTGCAGGACAGGTGTAATATGCTCTTATAATTGGTTATCAGCACCCCAAACCAACAGATGACTTCTCCCAGTGGTTTCATGTAGATGTTTAAAAAAAGGGGGGGGGATGAATACTGTGGCACTCCACCTTTAAGAATCTACCAGACCAATCTCTTCCCCCAACCACCAACTGGAGCCACCCAGTGAAGAAGTGGGGAATCTCAGTGAAACAGTGCCCCTAATCCCAAACTCCTGCAGGCAATTCAGAAGAATACCATGGTCAATGTATTGAAAGCCACCAATATTTCTAAAAGGACTGGAATGAGGTACACCTCACTTGTCCAGGTTCCAATAAAGGTAATTGGCACCACAAGTAATGTGTTTTCTGTCCCATGCCCATGCCAGAATCTTGACTGGAGAAGGTACAGATAATCTAGGTCTGCTGTAGCTGTTTCCCCACCATCATCTCAGGGCAATAGTTATTCAATATTGCTGGATCCAAGGAGGGCCTCTTAAGGATAGGATATACCATAGCCTCCTTCAAGGCTGAAGGAAACCTTCCTCTCTAAGTAAAGTATTGACCAACTTCCATATCCGGACAACTACGCCTCCCCTGGTTCTATGCAAGAGCCAGGAGGGGCATGGGTCTAGCCCACAGGTGGCAGGGAACGTGATAGTGAGTACCTTATCCACTTCCTTAGAATCCACAGGCCAAAAGGAATCTGGTTAATATGGCAAGATATTGCCCCAGTCACCAGCTTGGATTATATACATGAACAGTTAAGATTGGTGAATCTGAGCAACTTCATTGACAGAGTGCTGTTGAAAATAATCAGCACTGATAGGCAGGAGATCTGCTGGCAATTATTTTCCCAAAAGGGAGTTTGCCAAACTAACCAAGGTGACTTAGTCCATGAAGGCAATAGGGGAGAAAAATAGGCTTTTCACCTATCCTATCACTGTGCCATAAGTGCAAATTTGAACCTGTAGCTGTGCTCAGTCAGGTTTTCTTTTAGGTTTCTTTCACCTCTGTAATGGATTTCTCAGAGCCTGGGAAAGAAAAATTCTCTGTTTACAAAGGAACCTGGCAGTGCTGTAAGCATGGTCATGTTTTTAAAGTTAGAAGAGATCCCTAATTCATACTGAGTATTTCACAAAGTACAGGATGTCCTACCCTGGGTATCAGATGAAGATTTGTTCTATAGATGTTAATTTTAAAATTGAAAGATTTTTTTTTTGTTTTAGGATTGGAAAATTGTCCTAAAGCAGAGTTAAACTGAGCCATTCTGTGTGTCTATTCTAACGTCTACTGTGGATGATCCAAAGGCCCCTCCTCCTTTTGATTTTTTCTTATTTTCTTTAAAATATGTTTTTATGCATCTGGACTCCACAGGCCTAGACTGCATTATTTAGAAGAAAAAAGAAGGAAAGATAGCTAATGGATGGGCCTCTGCTGCTTACATTTCTAAACAAGAATTACTCCAATTTCTCAGGAAAGGACTAATCAGATTTAAGATTTCTGCCGAATAAGGCCCAAATATATGTCTGACTACCTTCAGGCTGGAAAAGTAACCAAAATCTTACTGTAATTAGAACCAAGAGCTTGTCAGGATTGCAAGTACACTAAATAGTAGCTCTTTCTCAAGTAGCATTTATTCGTGGACTCTTGACGATGGAGCTGCCAAGTGAGTAGTTCCTATCAACAGTAGTCAACAGCAGTCCAGTGATGGATAACTATTCAATTCTATGCAGAGAGAGAGAGCTACTTTGATGTCTCTGCCAGAAAGAGCTACTACTAATTATGAATTCATAGATTGTACCAAACTAAGCATAGAGTGAAGGAGTATACAGGCTCGAGTCTGGGGCTCCGGGTGTGTGACAGAGCCCAAGCCCATTTCTTTGTAGCACTGAGTGATTGATTGGTGTTTTTATAATTTTTCCTGGCTGCTGGGTGTTCTGATGTTTTTTGTATATGTTTTTATCATTTTTAATATTGTTAGCTACCCAGAGTCATATATTTGAGATGGACAGCCATATAAATCTAAATAAATAA